CGTCGTTTATTTTTCATAAATAAATTTACTCTTGCCGCTCGATGGGTCTTTTTGAGATGCGCCTGCAGCTATTTTCTTTTTTTTTTCTTTTTTTTTTCCGGGTAATTTGCGCGCTCTACCGGTTTAGAGGGGGGAGGGAGGGAAGGGGGGGGCATTTAAGCGAGCAAGTAGGTCATTTAGCCTCCATGGGAATTTTCCTTCGATTTTCGAGATGTTCGAGATGACTCTTTCCGATCTTCTACGAACGGAAACGTGGTTTCTATCGTGCGCGATCGAACGTAAAATATCGCCCCCGAACCGGGCAAATAACTCGACGGCGAAAATTCTCGGAAACCCGCTAAATTAGTCATGCCGCTCGGAGCAGCTTTTAATATTACAAAGTTCCTGTGTTAGAGGCTGCCTGCTAACGAGATCATACGTTAACGCCGCCCCTTAACGAGCTTACTCGGACCGGCGGCTTTTTACCGTTCCGCTCTTCTCCTCTCGTTTCGTTTTATCCGCTTTTCCCGCTTTTTCATGCCCGCGCGTATTTTCGCGTTTCTTTCCTCCGCGGCGCTAATTGTTTCGTTTAATGGAAAGGAGATTTTGATTCTACGACCGTCGTGCCATTCCGGCTTTTTACCGGTTTACAGCCCGCTCTCGCTCGCCCGAAAATCAACTTTTAGTACAAAATATTTAAATCGGCTCCCACTTTGAAAGCGAACGCTTTTCAGAGCGATATTTTGTAACCAACCTCCTATCTCCCGTCAAACGATATTACGGGCGTTTATGGTTACTTCATAAATAAGGGCGGGTTTGCGTTCCATCTAGATACGCAGAGAATCCTCTCGTTCAATTTAATGATAGATTAAATAATAAATTACTGGTGGTACGCGGCTGATATTTTTTAGAATATAATATAGATATTCTACGGACGAGAATCGATTTCGTATTTATCACTGAAACTAATGCTTTTAAAAGATTCCCCGTGTGTACCTAACTGGAGGGATAGTTGTTGTTATTACATCCGGTATAAAATCGATAGAGGGATGAGCTTTTACGCACAAACGTGATATTTTCTGCAGTAAAATATTTCGCTTTTCATGAACACGAGCGATGATACTCGGGAATTGCTCGCCGGCGGAGTTTCTTATCACGTTACGGCATGGGAAATTGGGCGATCGGTATCGAGAGTTTAACTATCGACTTTATCGTCGTAGATACGCCACGACCGTTCGTGAGCTGCCCCCAGGACATGGATGTCGAACTACCAGCTAGGCAAAACACGATACGTGTAACTTTCCCGCAACCAAAGTCTAACATGAATTGGTGGAGGTAAGAAGCGCATAATGTAGCAAAAGCCTCAAATTCGAAGCTGCGATTCGAATCTATCCAATTCGCATTTATTGCGCTCATCCAAAGCTATACAAAATTTCTTTGCATCCAAGATAGATTTATCAAGAGAGTGGAATCAAGAACATCCGATATTTTTTTTTTTTTTTTCAATTCCGTTTTTCTATTCCTCTATTAGCGTAAACAAAATGAGTTTGACTCAAGTATCAAGTGACACGGTTGCCCATCTGTCTGGCCGTACGGTTGGCCTTTTTTATCCTTTTCTTTTTCTCCCTTATCCTTCTCTTTCATGTTTTTCAGATACGTACATGCTTCACCTCCATGGGCAAAGCAATTGCAAGCGGATCTGCCGGCGGGCACGACAGTCGTTACCTTCACGGCATGGTCGCCGGTCTCTAATTACACCAGCACCTGTAGGATCGTGATAAGAGTCCGCGGTAAGTCCGGCGCATAAGAGAGAAATCAGAAATAAAAAGAATCGCTTCGAGGGAAATAGATCTCCTGCGAACTCCTTTTTCTTGCGAGCCGAGTATCATCGTGGTGATAAGAACCGCCATTATGAACGACATTATAAACATAAGCGTAATAGCAAATATCAAATAGTAATGAAAGAAGTGTATTTTTCTTGTATCAAGCATTACCATAAAATTATAAATAATTATGGTTATTAACGCTAGTAAAGTCTTTAGGTCAGGATGGAAAGGATAATTTTAAACGATATATAAAGGATTCATTTTGACGTATTTCAACGCGAAGAATGACATCTGTCTTTTTTTTTCGACTTCCATCCGTGCCTTCCGAGAGTTAAATTGAACGGATGAGAGTAAAAGAGAAGTGGCAAATTCGACAGCTTCGGATGCGAAATCTTCGATTTCATAGATTATGAATCTACGATGAGAACTCCGCAAAGTTTCTGTTAATGTCCTCCCTTTTTTTTCTCTTTCATTTTCGATTTCGTTTATTTTTCCGAGAGAGAACTTTTTGCACGGGGGACAATCGATCGGCGAACGGAAATCAGCTCCCCCGCTCGCTCGAATCGGCCTGACGCGGTAAACTTTAGTTTCCGCGGTGAAGTGCACTCCGTTCCGTCCCGCTTAATTACTCATTCGGAAAGTTCGTGAAACTCGCTTTAAGCAAGTTCCCTCCGCAAGCGGCGACTGGAAGAAGGAGCGCCGTAGTCGATACGCGATTACGCAGAATAAGTTCGCGCCGACCGGACGAATACTCGCGGGAATTACGCGGTGTTTCTTCGAGGTTCTTAGCAACTCCAAAAACCGCTTTGCCTCTTCTCTCTCTCTCTCTCTCTCTCTCTCTCTCTCTCTCTCTCTCTCTCTCTCTCTCGCCGAGATGTTCCCGATTTTCCCAAGTCGGTCGATTATGCCCACCTTTCCCGCATTCTCAATTCCGTTCGCTCGAGCATCTTTAGAATCTACCTTCGCGAAATAACGAGAAACTTTCCGAGAAAGCGAACGTGCTCGGTAATCAAAAGATGCGCTACGATATTTTCAGACACGGAAAATCCCAAGGTTACAATGTGTCCCGTGTCTTTCGAGGTCAGGCTGAGCCCGGGAGAACGGAACCGTTTGATATTCTGGCAGGAACCGACCTTCACCGATAACGTCGGCGTGGAGCACGTTTACAAAACGAGGGTACGTATTCGCATCTGTTATCAGCTGTTCGATCGGCGTTCTACGTACGATTTTTTGGTCATATTTATGAAATTCCCTTCCCATTTTCTCTTAACGAATTGGCGAATTCGAATCTCCGATATCGGTCGGTCGATGTCGATACTTCTCACTCTCCTGTTGGCAAATTTTGAAGTTAATTAAAGCCCGCTTTGCCGTTGACAATCGGGCATATTAATCGAACGGGGATATCGTCCATTAATTATCCTTTCGTATTTCGAGAAAATGAGTCCCGCGAAAGAAACTGCTGCAATGCGACGGAGGATAGTATCTACAATTTTCCTCGCGAGCGCGGTATAAGCGCCCGGGAAAAACCGGCTGGATGATTAATCATTGTCGGTCGACGCCTCCGACCTGTTTTTATTGTATCTTTCTGGCGTTCCGTCCCGTGGAAAGGGTTGTACGTGTACTTTATTAACGTAATAACAGAGATTACCCTGTCCGCGCGATAACCGTCGCGCGGATAATTGGTGGCTTGCGCTCTCGATAACGCGGGTTATAAATGGCCCTGGACATTATGCAACCTGACGGCTAATCTGATTAGGGAAATTGAAACGAAAATCGTGCGACCGGACGCCGATCTTTTTGATCGGTCATTTAGGAGAACGAAAAAAAAAAAAAAAAAAAGAAAAGAAAGAAAACGAAAAAAAGGAAAAAAAATTCGATTGTCACTGATGACGTCCAATTGCGAATGAGTTTGCAAAACGCGAGTGTTGCACTCATACCTACGGTACAAAGTTGGCCGGCAACACACACGCGTTTTCGCACATGCACGCCGGATATTTTCCTCGGAGGAAATTTCCATGCAATCGCGCGAGAAGTTAATTATCGTATATCTCGCGCAGGGACCTGGACACGTGATGTATCCCGGCGTTCACAATGTGCGCTACGTCGCCTCGGATGCAGCCGGAAATCGAGCCGAATGCCATTTCTCGATACACGTGAGAGGTAAATTTATGCCATTGTGTCCCCCCCCCCCGCGGGAGGGAGGAGAGGGCGACGAAGGGCTTCGCGGCGAGGAGCGGCCGTCGCGAGCGGCGTCGCGACGCGACGCCGCGAATTCCCTTCGAAATGTGAAATATCGCCCCTCGCATTTCTCTTTCATAAATGTATAATGTAATTATCGGTACGGAGAGAAAGAGAGCGCGTTTGATCGAGTATTTGTCTCCGTGTGTTTGCAGAATCCGAGAACGGTCACAGCTCTGAGGTGAGTTCACAAAGGAATCAATGTCATTTTACGTCGGTCACGTTGTATTGATCTTTATCTTTCTTCTTTTTATTCCGTTTTTCTTTATTTTACCCAATCTACCCTGTTTCGTTTGAAATAGTCGCGAGACAAGCATCTTACCCGGTTTTCGCTCGTAAACGATACTCGTATAATGACTTTTCAACCTGACAAAAATGTCGGGGGTATTAAGTATCCTTTATGGTATGAGCCGTTTAAAGAGAATCAGTCGGTTCCGTCGCGTGCGAGTTTCGCAGAAAGGATCCTTTTTCGAGGACATAGTCGTAGATTAAAGCGCCACAGAGAGAAATTCATGTGGGGAAGGAAGGAGGGGAGGTTAAGAGTGCACTTATCTCCTCGTTTAGCCGAGATTCTACAGAAGAAGGATGTTGATGTGCCCCGGCAGACCACCCCAGCCCTTGCCGGCGAGCTCCTCTTACGGGGTGAGTAGAGCAAGAGTGCTTGCAATTACACGCGAGGTCGATGAGATTCCAGGGAAGTATCTTAATTCGACTTTGCAGTGGCAAATACCGAGCGGTTGTTACTTAAGATACACCAGAATCTTCTCGGGGGCTTATCAGCGACATCCGGAACATCGGCACAACGGTTACCGAGGCATTGAGGCTCCTTATCGCCAACTTCCACCTATTCGACAGACTCCGAATCCTCCAGACATCGCCAGGGCATACAATACCGACGATTGTAAGTGTTCGTACGTGTTACAACCCAGAAAGTACGATATTTCAAATGGAAGGGACGATCGTTAAAGCAAATAGATAATATTTCTTTAAATTAATATCTATTAAATAAAATTTTATTTAAATTTTATTAAATAAAATTTCCATTAAATAAAATTTTATTTCTATTAAATAATTTTATTTAAATTATTTTTATCTATTAAATTAAATTATTTATATCATTTCGATAAATGATCAATTTAAACGACTTACGACATTCGCAAAATTCCATTTATAATTTTGTGTAATACACTTGTATGTATAATGTAAAGATGCATGTATATAAGGCTATAAGTAGAAATCTGTTTTGAAAGCTAATAATCTAAATTATGCATGTTGCTGAAAAGATTTAAGGAAAATGGATAAGGAGCCTTATTTTAAATGAGAGTATATGTGACAAGAGTACAAGAGGATATATGCGACGAATTTAAAATATATATCGCTATTCATATGTATAAAACTGTATATGAGATGATAAATAACATGAAAACGAATATGATGGTTGAAACGTATGTATACATCGTAACGTGAGCTGTAATCGATAATTCGATAAAAAAAAATAACTATTGGCCAGACGACCCGAATAGTGCCGCGAGAGAAAAGGAAATCGAGAAGAAAAGGAAATAAAAAAAAAAAAAAAAAAAGGAAAGAAAGAAGAAAGCGAAGCGAGACGGAGAGTGTCGATACTTACGATGGTGTTCCATTATGGAAGACACCGCTGATGACAGCCAGCGGTCTCGACAGCGACATCGACCAGCCAGAATTATAATCTTGCGATCGGCAGTTTAAAGTGAAACGACGTGCGAGAGACAACGAGGACGTCTTTTGCAATTACGACGGGGGATCAAGGAAACGGACGATCAAGATGTTCAATGTGCTGGCACCGGGAAAGCTCGTCTTAACCTTGCGATCGACACCCCCTTTCGTGGCCGAGAGCGCCTTCGTTTTAGCCTTGACGATCTTGTTAGCGGCGCCGCTGATCGTGCGCGTTTACCTCTTTCTCGTACGTGCCCTCGATAAATTGTCTTGCACCCCGCCCGCGGACATCCGAGAGGAGGGTGAAAACGTTACGTGAATACCTCTCTTATCGAGATGCGCGTGGCTAGAAACGACGTGCGACAAACGGTGTAACGTTTTTTTTGTTTTTTTTTTTTTTTTTAATCCGTGCCATTCGGCTTTCCTTTGATAAACAAGGACCACACAAGGGGTGGTTTTGCGCTCCACTTTTATTTGCATGACATAGTGGCGTTGTCCGACGCGTTATCTCGAAAACGCGCGTTCGCGGGAACGCGTTTTTAAAACGCGAGTGCGCATCGATAACACTTCCGCGGTGTTCGAACGGAAGCACCGCGCTGGACTGTAAATTTTCCAATTTCTTTCGCCGTGATATAACACCCGCGTTTATAACACAATAGAGGGGCACAGCGCGCAAAGCACACCGCGTTACCGCGATACCAATTTCATTGACGGCTATATAATGTACCGCTATAGCTGCGTACTACATTACAAAGTCAGAAGCCCAAAGTGAGAAAATTCTTTTACCATTCTTATATTTCCTCTATAGCAGCGTATACAATTATGAAAAGGATTCGGAATAGTGTTAAAGTAGTTTGTCGAAAAATTTCTTTCCTCTTTTAAAGGAAAAATTTAACGTGTCACGTGTCAAACGGACTGCCACGATACGGCTTAAACTTTCCGCAAACTTTTCTGATTTATTTACTTCTCTTTATTATTATATTATTGTATATTTATTATGATTATTTCCTATTCATCGTTATACATTTATTATTATTTTTCTTTATTTTTAATACCATACGTTACGTTTTTATTATACGTTTATTACTTTATTATTATTATTTATTATCATTTATTATATATTATTATTATTATATGTTTATTATTATTTTTCCTGATTTTTTGATATCACGTTACGTACAGGACAAGCCGCTGAGAATTCTCACGAAAGCAGTTTCGTCCTCGCATAGTCGTGCCAATCGATCGTTAGTGATACACTATCCGGCTCCAATCGAAGTGGTCGACTCCACGTCAAGTTCCTATTTGCATCCAGAGTCCGTTCGCAAGATCAATTCCACGCCGATTCTATCGAGCAACGGCGGTGTCCTGAACAGTTCGAGTCGACGCGGAGTTCGAGTCGAGGGGAAGATTGGAAGTCGCGAATCGAAAGTACGGAACGTACGTTCGTCGTCGAATCCTTGCCCCTCGTTCCTCGCGGACTCGCCGCATCCGATAATCGACATATCGGATCTCGATTACAAAGCCTACCGTCACAAGCTCGTCGAGACGACTCTGAGGAAGCAGTACGACGATTTTCAGCCGCCGGCCGACGTGATTTTGAACTCGCTGCATTTGAATTCGGCCGACTCGGTGATCGGCGTGCGATTGAACGATCAATACAATCACAGCCTTTTCGACTTCGTCGAGGAGTACTACAACGTTGCCGAAGGAGTAAACCAGAAAAACGTCGAGCATCCTCATCCGCTGGATCATTTTTTGTTGAAAGGCACGAGAAGACCGCGGACCAGCGAGAAGGAAACGGAAACGATTTCCGATCGGCAGTTGCTCGATACTGAGAGCAGCAGAAATCATCATCCGGGAAATGATGACGGCAAAAAACTGTCTTGCATAGACGATAACGAGAATCTGTGCGTCGTTCAAATGTCATCGAATAACGTTTCCGCGATCACGATGTACGATCGGGATTCGAAATCGGGAGTACCCGATTTACCCATTTTGAGAAAATCGACTCCGATCAGCCAGAGGTCAGGGCAATCTCGTAAATATGACGCTGATAAAGAGACATCCAGACATAACGTGGAAAAAGACTGTTCGCGATTCGTCGATCCCACCACGATGAAAGTATCCTCGTGGACGAGGAACGATCGACCGGCGAGTGCCGGAAGTGCATCGAAGGGCTTTTCCCTATCACGCGATGTCGCCATGTCGGAGAGACGGCGAGCAACGGAAACTTCGAGAACGAATACGGGCTGTTCACGCGAATCCAAGAAAAAATTGGAGGATTATCCGTCCACGGTGCTCCCGTCGTCGAACAAACGTCACGCGGGAGGAAGGAAGACGGAGCGGACGGGAGGGAGGTCGACTTTTATTTCGATGAGCTCCAGCGAGATTGCCAGCATCCGCAGCGATTCCAGTAAGCGCCAGGACGACCAAGTATCGTGCTATTCGCGCGAATCGTCCATCGGTCCCAGGAGCCGGCTGTCGTCGCGTCCTCCTTGGCTGTCGGGAAACCAAAGCACTTCTTTCAATAGAAAATATGGACGAAGTATTGCGGAAACTTCCGTCGCGAGGGTCGCGAGACCGATGTCAGCGCGCGCGAGTGATCCGCAGAAGCGGCGGAAATTGTCAGTTTCGTCCCGAGGACGGTCGAGAGAATCCTCGACGGTATCAAGCCATAATTCAGTGTTATCTGGAGAAAGAGCGGCGACTCTTGTCACGTCGCGGGAAAAGGAATTTATCGGGACATCGGTCGGACGACAACGCGAAGAGAAAATCCATCTCGCGACGCAAGCGTCGCGTCGACAGCGAGACGACAGGTCAAAGGAAGTCGGTAACATCGCCATGAAAGATAACGAAGAGGGACGAACTTTGAAGACTGCCGAGTCGCCCTGCGGGGAGAGAATGTCCGCGAGCGGAACGGCGATCTCCGACAATGTCGCTTTGTCGTTTTTGTCCTCGCCGGAACCCGCTCGAACGCGGGTTCACCGGGGAAGCTGCTCACCCCACCAAGCCGCACTCTCCGCCGATGCAGCTGCAGCTGCAGCGAGTGAAACTTCGGCGACAAAGGAGCCGGAATTAATAACGAGCGACGGTGCGAGAGGGAAGCCCGGATTCGGGAATAATACGCCGAGAGCCGGCCCCGAGCCGCCGCTCGTGCGATATCGGCAGAAGAATTTGGCGAAATTAAATCGCGACGGCAGGCGACGAGCCTTAAGAAGCGCGGAGAATCTCTCGAAAGGCGCGTCGCTGAGCCCGCAGATTGAATTATCCGCCGAGATGTTAAACTCGGCCGACGATACCGACGATAAATCCGCGATCCTCGACGGGGAAAAACTCGCGGAGCTTATACTCCGGATCGATCCGCGACGGAATACGGAGACGATTCAAGCGGAAATCGCAAAAGCGGCGACGACGAGAATGGACGATGTGGAATCCAACCGCGTCAACGGCGTCGTCCGATCGAAAATTATACGAAATTATCCTCACGCGAAACACGCTGCCAACGCGAACAATTTTCCCAAGAGCCACGGATCCGCCGCGGCTTCGTATCCGGCGCGACGAGATGCAAATTCCGAAACGAAAAGCGGATTAAACGGCACGAAATTGAATACTCGATCAAACGACGACGCGGTTGGCAAAATGAGATACGATGGATCTTCGTCGAGATCTTCGTCACTTCTCACCCCGCGCGAGTGTGCTAACGTTGTCGAGAGAAAAGAAACGGGTGATATCGCGAGACACGATGCCGACGAGGAATTGCGACTTCCGCGACACGATTCCAAAATAGGACTCGTAATGAATTCCGCTTTAAAGAGATATATTAGGATGTTGAAGCAGGGCCTCTTAGATCACGGCGATAAAGACGGCGTCGCGCTGGCGTCTTTGAGCCTCTCCGACGCCATATCCATTCTGTCGGAGCAGGGAACACCTCTGTCACCGGAGGAGATTCGGGAATTACAAACCGTGCTGGAGAGAATCGAAAGAAATCCGGAATTGTTGTGCAAACAGTCGTGCCCGAGTATGGAAAGTGTTGTGTGAAATATATATTTCGTAAATATCAGTGTTAAC